TGCGAGGGCTTGGGGAGCCGTGCTGGTCTGGGCGGGAGGGCTCGGGAGGCCGCGGAGTTCAGGAGCCTGCACTGGAGCTTCAGGCACGCCGGCACGGGGGCGCTCCCTGGGCCTCCCCCCGTCGGACCTTGGTGCCCGGTGTCAGAGGGACTAGGTTCTGGGAAGAGGGGCCTAGATGTGGCAGCAGCGCTTTGTATGGAGCTGTGGGGCGGTGTCTGGCCCGCTCGGGGCCCAGACAGGGCAGGGGCAGTTTCACTGCCCCCAGCTAGAGAGGGGAGCGGGTCGGGAGCGGCAGAGCCGACAGCCACCTGTCTTCCCGCTGAAGCGCTTTCCCTGACCACCTGACGGCTCTTCACCACCCAGGAAGGTAGGAAGTGAACGATGTGAGTTAACTTAGGTGCTCTGTCATGACTTAGAATCTGGGAAAAACATTAAAATGTATCAGAATTCCTAAGTCAGCTGGTCCAGGAGCTTGATGAGGAGCTTGCCGCAGGTCTCGGGTGACCCGTAGAGACCACAGGCTCATTTTGGGACTGTCCCTTGGGGAGGTGAGCCACTCTCTGGGCCCCCAGGCCAGATGCGGCCACAGGGTTGGGGGTATGACCCTGTCTGCAGGGTCCCAGGAGAGGTGCTTCTGACTTGGGGGTAGGGGTGTCCTGCCCAGCACAGCTCGTGACTGGGTGACCTGCGTGTGCTCCCTGAGCTGCTCCAGCCTGGCCCTCAGTGCTGTCCTGGGCTTCTCCAGACACGCCCACTTCTTGCCTCTGAGGTTTTCTCCTGCAGCAGCTGAGCTGTATTGGGGACTGGCCGGCTGTTCAGGTGGCTTTGTCTTTGCTGAAGGGCTTAGGTTCAACAGGAGCCGGCACAGAGCTGGCACGGAGATGCCGCAGGACGAGCCTGGAAAGGCAGGCAGGGTGTGAAGGACATGCCAGTGTGGGAGAGGCCACAGCACTAGGCTCTGTCCTCAGGGGCCGCTGTCAGGTGAACTGCTGTGTCCGGACTCTAGGCCAGGCAGGTCTGCTGGGCTGGGGGCAAGCACCCCCGTCTGCTCGGGTAGCCTGGCCCCAACAGCTGCCTGGGGCCTCTACTGCCTTGACGCTGGGGGAGCGGCGCAGGGTGGCTCTGCCATGCAGACACCAAAGGCGCCTGGGCGGGCTGGGGTGTGCACACTTCAAGGCGTAGGAACAGAAGTCTGTCCCAAGTTCCTTAACTCTGGCACCTAGCTACACGCAGAATGGCATTTTACATATGCTGGACAGAAATAAGAGAATCAAGCCCCGGCCAGAAAGGTTCCAGAACTGCAAGGACCTGTTTGACCTGATCCTCACCTGTGAAGAGAGAGTGTACGACCAGGTGGTAGAAGGTGAGACCCCAGGCCTGAGCTGCCTGTGTGTGTGCCACCTGCCGGCCCAGGCACTCAGTTTGTGTTCCCTGCTGCAGGGCTGGCTAGGGATCCCTGGAGCATCTGCCAGCAGGTGGGGGGATGTGGGCAGGACCCTGGTCCCGACCTGTGGGGCCCTCCTTGGTGGCCAGGCAGGAGTGTTTGAGGGCCGCTGGATAGCTAGGGTTGGGCGCTGTGGCCTTTGGCTTGGCTGTTTATCAGAGCAAGACCGCCTGTGTGTAGGCAGACAGCTTTGTGTGGGGCCCGGTCTTTTTTGCCCGTGAAGAGTATGTGTGAGATGAGCTGGGTCTGGGGTCCTGGGCCTGTAAGTGGGGCTGAGCACTTACCCCGGAACAGCTGGTGCTCAGGGTGGCTGGGGCCTGGTGCTGAGGCTGATGATCAGGTCTCCTTGGATCGCAGCCACATGGGCTATGAGGCTCCCCCTGGGCCTGGTTTGATGCTGAGTCCTTAATTGTGTTCCCTGAAGAGGAACGGGGCAGTCGAGCAGGGCAGGCACTGGCCCTTCTGTGCCCTGCTTCTCAGGTTCTGACATCTGACATTCTGTCCTGGCCAGATCTGAATTCCAGAGAGCAGGAGACCTGCCAGCCAGTGCATGTCATCAACGTGGACATCCAAGACAACCATGAAGAGGCCACCCTGGGGGCATTCCTCATCTGTGAACTCTGCCAGTGTGTGAGTGTCCTGCGTCTTGGCTCCTGCCCCCTGCCCTGGGCCCCAAGGAGCAGTCCCACCAGAGGGCAGTGACTCCTGCATATGAGGGTTTCATCGTGAAACAGTTGGATTGATGGCGAAGGTGTCTTCAAATGTCAAAACCCAAGTAAATGCAGAGATGTGCCCCTAAGTCGGAGAACGACTCAGTCGCTTTGGCTTAAGAATTCACCTCTGTGCTTTGTTCAGTCGGTAGAAGTGCAGTGACCTGCTCAGTGTCTGGCATCCACGAAGATGGCCATGTGTGTCTTCCAGGGCCTTTCCGGACATAGGCTCCCTTGCAAAACCCCAAACACATCTAGTGGAGCCTCCAGGTCCCCAGAGATGTCAAAGGGCTTCACCCTCAGGGCTTGGGGTTCCTGTGTGGGCATCCTCCCTCAGGTGGACAAGCCCAGGGGCGTTGGCAGCCCCTGTGCTGCTGTGCTCAAGAGTAAAGCATCCCCTCTCAGACATGAGGAAGATCCACCCAAGGAGAAACCCACGTGTCTCACTCTGTCTTCTGCCTGTGGGATCTGCGTTTAGGTCAGTTGGCTATGAGTGATGGAAAGACAAAACAAGCGGATCGACTAAGAAGGGTGGAGACAGGCAGGCCTGGACTGGTTTGCTACGTGAGGGACCCAGGTGCCCGCTCTGTTGCTCTGCCCAGCAGAGCTTCTGTTCCCAGTATGCCTCATGGTCCAGTGTGGCTGCTGAAGCTCCAGCAGTTGTGCCCATGATCCAGCCATCATGCCAAAGAAAGGGCTGAAGGGGAAGACAACGTCCCAACAGTTGTACACATGACTTCCACTCAGGTTACACTGGAGAGAAAATCATGGTGGGGCTACTTTTCACTTCACAGACCAGCCAAGACGAGGGTCAATGAGCAGCCTGGCCACAGCATGCTAGGGCAGTTGTGCTTGGGAGCCAGCCCTGGGCCACCCCAAAGCTGCCCCCTGGCAGCACCTACTCTTTTTAGGGCAGTGAGTCAGCACCAGGGGCATCTGGCCATGTCTGCACATACTGGTGGGTCTCACAACTGGGAGGGACACTAGTGGCGGCTCGTGGGTGGAGGCCACAGCCTGTAGTGCACAGGACGGCCGCACTGCAGAGCACGACAGGCTGGCTTCCCTGGCAGGAGGACTTCAGCAAGGACTGTGTCGCTTGCTGATTCGCAAAGCGGGGAGGGTCGGTGGTTCACTGTGCATGTGAGGTCGAAGCAGGCCCTGGTGCAGCTGCCCTGTGCCTCTGGGTCTCAGAGCCCAGCCCCCTTGGCTGGGGGTCTGCACCAGAGGACCGGGGCTGCCCTGGACGCTCGTTCTCAGGACCCCGGCCAGGGCAGCAGGGGAGTCTCTGAAGCCCTGGTCATCGTCAGAACAGGCAGAGGCAGCTGGACCTGCCTGCCGGGGGTCGGGGACAGACGCTCCCGCTCAGGGTGGCTTTTCTGTCCCCCAGATCCAGCACACTGAAGACATGGAGAACGAGATCGACGAGCTGCTGCAGGAGTTTGAGGAGAAGAGCGGCAGGGCCTTCCTGCACACTGTCTGCTTCTACTGACACCCAGCCGCCCTGCCCGCCCCTCAGCTTCCTTCCGTCCTGGGGTGTGTGTGCCCTTGTCCATGTTCTGCCAGGGGGCGGTAGCCGTACTGAGATGAGCTGCGTCGGAGACATACACGTAAATGCAGACTGAACCAGCCGAGTCTCCTGTCCCCCCTCCACTTGTGAGTGGGGTGTCCATTTTCCTCAAACCCCAAAGGAGAAGACGGTTGATAGTTCATTTCCCCTCGGCTACCCCTCCCCTTATGTCCGAAGTGGCTGGAATGTACAAATCCCTGAATAAAGCAACGCGCTGTCTGTGCAGTTGTTCGGTGAGCAGATGCTGCCAGGGGTCTTGGCTTTGTCCCGACGGCCCCGGTGCCCTGGCGCGGGTTGCTGTGACAGTGGGACGAGGAGGCGGAGGTGGGGAGGGGTCCTACAGGAGGACTTCAGCAAGGACCGTGTCACTTGCTGATTTGCAAAGGGGGCACTCAGGGTCGCGTTCCCCAGAGATCCGCTTCCGAAGGGGCTGCTTGCTGGGGCTGGGGCCCCGTGATCGGGCAGCCCAGGGCCTGCAGGGCCTGCCTCCCTTCCCGGCCAGATCAGAAGTCCTTCCCCCAGGACTGCGAGCAGACCGGCCCTTTCTCTGTGGCACCTGCTCCCTCGCTGGGATTGGTGTCCCTACAGCTGCCCCCAGGGAGCCCTCGGTTCCACAGCTGTGGAAACCCTGGGGTGCCCCGCGGGCAGTGCGGTGGTTGCCTGGGCTCTGGGTCAGGGGCTTGCTCAGGGACGTGGGGCGCCCAGAGCAGGGCCACGGCACGGGCCTCTGGGCCTCTGCCCAGCCCAGGTGCCTGGGGCGGACCCCTACGGGAAGCTGGGGCTGACACTGGTATGCACCCTGGGGCGCCCCCGCCTTTGCCGGGCTCCTGCCGTGGGCCTGCGTCCGGCCCTCCGAGGGGCCTCCCCGGCAGCTTGCTCGCGGTCCCGAAGGGGGTCCTTCAGCGGAGGGGGAAGGGGGCGGGCAGCCGCCCCGGGGGCCCCATCGGCCACGGCCGGTCTGGTCCGGTGCGGACCCGGCCCGGGCGGCAGGGCAGGCGGGCCAGGGGGCGGCGCGGCGCGGGGAGCGGGCGGCGCGGCGCGGGGCGGGGCGGGGCGGGAGGAAGGCCGAGGGCGGAGCGGAGCGCGGCGAGCGCGACGGCCGGCGGCGAGCGACCCCGAAGCGCCGCGTCCCTTGCCCGCCCCGCCCCGCGCCTCCTCCGCGGCCGGCGGAGCGCGGCGGGCTGACCTCTGCGGAGGCGGCGGGGGCCCAGCATCGGGCCGGGGCCGGGGGGGCGCCGGGGCCGGGGGGCGGCGCTCCGGCCCGGCCCGGCCCCGCCCGATGTCCATGAGCGCGAACACCATGATCTTCATGATTCTGGGGGCGTCGATCGTGATGGTGAGCGGAGGGGCTTCCCGCGCGCCCGCGCCGCCTCCCGCGCCCGCGCCCGCGCCGCCTCCCCCACCTTCCGCGCCTTGTTTACCGGCCCGCGCGGCCTGCGCTCCCCCATCCCGGCCTGCGCGCCCCATCCCGGCTCGCGCCCTCCCATCCCGGACGCACGGTGCCCCCATCCCGGCTGCTCCTCCGTCCCCGGGTGCCCTGCGCGTCCCCATCCCAGACTTCGAGCCCCCGTCCCCGGCCTGTGCTCCCCTATCCCCAGAGCACCGGCGCCCCGCCTGGGGTCCCGGCCGGCTGCTCCCCGGCAGTGACGGGTCATGGGCTCTTCCAGGCCATCGCGTGCTTGATGGACATGAACGCGCTGCTGGACCGATTCCACAACTACATCCTCCCGCACTTGCGGGGCGAGGACCGCGTCTGCCACTGCAACTGTGGTCGGTGAGTCCGCGCCGGGTGGGGCAAACGCGTGATCACACGTGTGGCGGGGCCACTGGGATGTGGGGGAGCCCCAAGCCCAGGCTGTGGGCTACGCTAGGCCGGTGCGGGAAGGACTGTCCCGTCCCTTCCAGCCCCGGGCTGGCACCTGGGGATTGGCCAATTGGGTTCCAGGAGTGGGGTAGCATGACCAAATCAGTTAGGACCCCCCAGAATGCCTTTAGAGAAAGGGCCCACCAGGGTGATGGGCAGAACGGGCCTTTGGCCTCCTGCTGTGGGGCCTGGAGGCCCAGAGAGCTGCAACCGAGCCCAATAGCCCAGGAGGCATCTGGCAAACAGCCGGGCCCACAGAGTATACCACCCTTCCCCTGAGCCCTGCACTGTGCCCATGAACTTTCCTGGGAATCAGGAACAGGGCAGTATAGAGGGTCAAGGTGGGCAGAACCTACCTTGAGGGACACCTGGCCCAACCCCGCAGAGTACAGAGGAGGAACTGAGGCGAGGGAGGTGGAGCTGCCCAAGGTCACTCAGAGAGGGAGGGGAGAACCCAGGTCCCCTTCACCCGCTGTGTGACCCCCATTCCGTGCACATGTAGTGATGGGGTCTTCCTGGCCATGCATGTTTGTATGTCCACGTACGAAATAAATACCTTCTCATGAGATGCGCATATGTGTACCGTCTGTGCATATACATGTGCGTACACATGGCACACGCGCACATTCGCATGCACACCCTCATCCCCTCAGGATACCCTCAGGCTGGGCCCGTTGAGAAAGCAGAGGCTTGAGCGGAGAGATGTGCCCAAGGTCACCAGCTGGGAGGGACCTGCCCCTGACCTGTGCTCACCCTGCTCTGCTCCAGGGATATGCGCACACACAGTGGGCGGGGGATGTGTGTGAGAGACAGGACCTTTCGCTGCACTAAGCATGCCGCCTGCCTGGGGGTACAGAGCGGTGTAGTGGAGCAGAACATGGGCTTGAGGGAAGGCAGAGATGGGAGCTCCTTGCATGTGTTGGCCAGGGACCCACAGAGAGCTTGCTGGGTGCCCACATGTCCCCAGAGACCCCTGTGCTCCCGCCTGGTGCACGTGACCCAAGGCTAAGGAAAGGCAAGTTGGCACCACTACCTCCTGGGGGCTGTACAGCGGGCCAGTCCTGAGCGATTGGCCCGGACTCCGAGCCCTGCAAACATCTGTGACACATTTCACGTGTGTGTGGGCTGTTGTATTGTGACCAGCATGTATGTGCCTGTCACCTCACACTGGGGGCCTAGCCAGGGAGACAGGTGTGTTTTCAGAGTGTATTGCATAGGGTGTCACTTGCAGTGCCCAGACTACATGCACGGGTAGGTGGGTCTGTGGATGCAGGAAACATGGAGTTCTGCCTGCTGAAGACATGGGTTGCTTCTGCGTGTGTGTCCACATATGTGTGCTTTGTACACATCACTACATACAGGATATGTAAATTCAGTGTACAAAGTGTTCTTGTATATTGACAGCATACATGTGTATGCACAGTACACGTATGTGATACAATATACAGTGAAGAGTGTGCTCCATGTGGGTATGGCAAATGTGTCTGCAGAGGACAGTTTTGCATATGAGATATCCTTGTATGAATCAGGCACATGCAGCACCACAACAGACTTCACCCATGTATGTACATCACGTGTGCAGAGTAAGCATGCATGCACAAGTGTGCCTGTGGATAGTTTTATAGAGAACATGTATATAAACTAATGCTCCAAAGTGTGTGTGTGCCAGCAGGCAGTGTCTGTGTGCCCATGGCCATGCATATGCCACAGCGCCCGCAGAGAGGATGGCTGTGTGCAAGGCTGAGTGCCTGTGCATCTACTTGTGATATGCATCAGCTCATGCCAGGCAAGTATGCATGTGCACACACGTGGAGCTTGTGGACCTTCGTCCACGGTATACACGCATGTTCTGTGCATGTGGCCAGCGTGTATATACAACATGAAGCATGTGTGGTCCAGGCTGGACACCTGTATGTATACTTCTCATGGCAACCTGTGTGCACAAGGGAGACCTGAACCCCACCCCCAGGGTCTGATTTGGAAGAAGGAGGAGGGCAAAGGGTAGGGAAGCTGCTACAGATGCCAGGCCAGCACTGGGGGCACAGGTCATGACTTCCAACCTCTTGGAGCTCCTGAGCCTCCCAGGGTCGCTGGGGCCCAGCCTTGTCCTACTTGCAGGACACCAAGGGCCACTTCTAGCTCCCTCGGCGACTCGGTCTTTGTGTTTCCTACCTGACCAGCCGTGTGTCCATGGGTAAGCAGCAGTGGTGCCAAGGCCCAGAGGGCTGGCCAGGGTGGGGACGACCGCGGTGCTGTCAGCCCCCATGAGGTCCGGTCCGGCCTGGGGTGCCCAGGGTGAGGGGGCCTGCTAGCCAGTCACGAACAGTGTCCTCTCCTGGGGACCAGCAGCAGCCACACATTCTGGGCAGCAATCGGTAGTTTTCTATCCCTTGTTAATGATTGATAATGGCTGCTGATGAGCTGTGATGAGTGACAGGACAGTCCTTGCTAAGGGACCAGGGCTGGTGGCCTCTGGTCCAGGGGAATGTGGTGGCTGAAGCCACCTGCTGGGATGTCACACTCTGGACATGCTCAGCAGGATGGCTCCGGGGGCCCCTGACCCCACAGGGAGGAAGGCCCTCTGTGGCCCCTGCTGTGCAAGGACATCAGCGAGAGAGGGGCAGCGGGGGCCCAGGGTCAGGAAGGGTTTGCGGGGTTTCCATTTTTGAGAAGGTGCCTCTGCAGAGAGCGTGGGGCACGGCCAGTGGCGAGGTTGGGGGAGGGGAGGGGGACCTATCTGGGCTGAAGCCTCCGTGTAGGTGTTGACATCTAACTGAGGGGAAGATGGAAAAAGAAGGCTTGGGGAGGGAGGAGCTATTTTTAGGTGTGAGTTTGAGGTGTCTGTAGTTCCCACGTGGAGACACCACGCAGGCAGCTGGAGCTCAGAACAGACATGGAAGGTGGTGGGGACACTGGGGAGTGGGAGGGGAATTAGAGACCAGCAGAGGGGACCCGGGAGGAGGGGGACCCGGAGAGGAAGTCCCTGCACTGCCAGGCAGAGGGGGAGGCCACAGCCAGGGCGCAGCGGCTGCACGGACTCCCAGCACCTCGGGCCGTCAGTGCCAGCGCTCCCCCTGGGCTCTCCTGCTGGTCGAGGTGGCGGGGGGTAGCCCCAAGTCTGTTGCCCTGGGTGTTGGTCTCCTGGGGAAGGCCACCCCATCCTGGGTCACAGGGCCCAGAGGGCTTCCTGGAGGAGAAGGGGATTCAGGCAGGCGTAAGGCCGGAGGAGCCTTGTGGGACGGTGCGGTGTGGCCCTCAGAGGCAGCGAGGGCCTGGAGGGTTCAGAGGCCCGAGCTTGGACAGCCCAGGGAGGGGCTGGGGGGCATGGCACAGGCCTTGGTGGGAGCTGGGTCACGGGCGGGCAGGGGCTGCGGTCCAGGCGCCCTGGACGGCTGGAACATGGCCCATCCCGGAGCAGTAGAGCGGGTGGCAGAAGCGCAGATGTGTGTGGGGCGGATAAGGAGCATCCCCAGGAGGGCGGGTGAGAGGCTGGGGCGCCGGGCCGCGCGTCCCGGGCCTCCGGCACAGTGTCGGGCTGGGGAGCTGAAGAAGGCGAGGCGACCCGCAGCGGGGCTGACTCAACCTGCTTTCCGTGGGGGCGGAGCTAAAGCGAGAGTGGGCGTGGCCGCAGGGAGGGAGAGGTCACAGGGGTGGTCCCCGAGGAGCGGGAAGGGCCCTCTGTGGGCACAGCCCCGTCACCCCGGGTCTGGCCGTGGGCTGTGACCCTGCCGTCACCCTGGAACGACTCGTCCACCCGCACCGTGGTCCCTGACCCCGTCAGGGAGTCGGCGCCCCCAGGCCCGGCAGAGGAGGCGGGAGCATGGCTGGGCAGACGCACCCCCGCCCCTGGCGGCTGCCCCTTGGCCACGGGCCCCGCCCTCTCCCAGCTCCGGGCTCCCACCTGGCCGCCCCTCCCGACCTCGGCTCCCGCACACGGGCGAACGGGTGCCCCGCCCCGCCCCCCAGGCACCACGTCCACTACGTGATCCCGTACGACGGGGACCAGTCGGTGGTGGACGCCTCCGAGAATTACTTCGTGACAGACAACGTCACCAAGCAGGAGATCGACCTCATGTTGGGGCTGCTGCTCGGCTTCTGCATCAGCTGGTTCCTGGTGTGGATGGATGGCGTCCTGCACTGCGCGGTGCGCGCCTGGAGGGCCGGCCGGCGCTACGGTGAGTGGGGGACGGGCGGCCCGCGGCCCCGTCCCCGCCCACCAGCCCTGTCTCCCGCCCCGCCCTGCCAAGGCCCCGCCCCCGCCCGCCTCGCCACGCCCACCGGCCTGCCTCCGCCCCGGCCCGCCTGACCGTGCCCCACGCCCGCAGACGGCTCGTGGACCTGGCTGCCCAAGCTATGCAGTCTGCGGGAGCTGGGCCGGCGGCCGCACAGGCCTTTCGAGGAGGCGGCCGGGAACATGGTGCACGTGAAGCAGAAACTCTACCACAACGGCCACCCGAGCCCGCGGCACCTCTAAGCCATGCGCAGGACTCGCGGGCCGCCGGCCACGCGTCCACGCACACGGGACTGGACGGCCACCCCGGGCCAGGGCGCCCGCGGCCGCCGGGCGTGTCCAGCGGAAGGTGCTGTCTCTTCTTTTTATAAAGGGGGTCGGGTGGGGCCGGGAGGGGTTGCGGGGGGCCGGGGCTGCAGGCGGGGGCGAGGCACCCGGGTCCACCCGCTCGTCCCACGTCCTGAGTGCCGCCTGCGCCGGGCCCACGCCTGTGATTTAAAGCCGCCAGTTCCCTGTGCGCCCGTCTTTGCGTGCCCGCGGACCACTGGGCCGGCTCCGTTGGAGGGTAGTGAGGCCGGGAAAGGGGCTCCCGGCCACGCCCGTCTGCACACGGGAGCATGTGCATGGGCCGTGTGCGTCCGCGGGCCGCAGTGGGGGGAGGCGGGGTGCAGGGGGTCCAGGGGAGGCCCTGGCCCAGCAGCAATAAGGTCCCTGAGCCCTTCGGCGTGGCAAGTGTGGCCACCCTACCCAGGGCATCTCCGGTCGGGCACCTCACTGTGACCCCCCTATCCCTGCTGGTCAGTAAATTCTCCAGAAAGCTCCAGCCTCTGCATCTTCTTTCACGTCTGACCCCATGACCCTTTCGAGCCCCTGCACCCCACAGCATCCATGAGATAGACACCATAAGGTGTTTCGTTCATAGTTTTTATTAGATTCTGGATAAAAAGACCCCACTCCAGTGGAAGGCTATGGTTCTTCTGGGCCAGGGTTCTCTCCCAGCACCAGTCTGCCCTGGCCAGGTGACCAGCTGGTCTCAGGCTTGAGTTGCTCATAGTTCTCGGCCCCTGGGTTTGTCACAAAGTGTGTGGGCACCTCCCTGTCCTGAGTAGTGATGGATGACGCTGGTGAGCAGCACGGGCCTGGGTGAGACCAGGCCCCACCATACCAGCCCACGACTGCTGGGCACAGCAGCTCAGCCACTGTCCCTGGGCACAGAGTAGTGCCTTCTCTTCATTTCTGGGCCTGGCCTGACCCTCCCCAGCCAGGCTCACAGCCTGGGGGGGACAGACTGGGGGACCAAGGAACCAGGCCCACTGCCGCAGCTCTCCTGACTGAGGCCTTCAGGGCTGCCCCAACCCTGACTAGAGATGTGTTCAAAATGCTGGGGAGGTGGGCAGTCACCAGGAGACACAGGAACCCCTGCCAGGTCAGCAAGCCCAGGTGCCCAGGCTCACTGGGCCTGTGTCCTGGGGGGCAGGGGCTGGCCACCCTCGGACCCATCACCCTCCGCCTGCAGCCACTGCATCTTCTGCCGGTGTTGCTGAATGGCGTCCTGCACCCGAGCATCCATCATGGCCTCGGTGAGGACCCCGTCCTCAGAGGTGTATGCCATGGCCTAGCAGGGAAAAAGGGCATCGGAGGGGCTGCTGCGTGGGACACAGGTCTCCCAGCCACAGACACCCAGAGCCTCCAGCACCAGGCGGAGCCTCCAGGAACCACCCACCGTGCAGGCAACAGCCTGAATCAGGGCCAAGGCAGCCTGGCCAGCCTGACCCTTGCTGCTGCTTGCACCCCACCCAAGAGCTGTCTCTCGGAGAAGCCCTCCAGAATCGGAAGGCCTCCTGCAGGTTAGGGTTGGGGAAGGGTAGCTACCACCACCCACAGGCCTGTGCTCCCCCTCAGGAGCCTGGCCTGCCAGCAGAACATACATGCCAATATGCTAGTGGCACACACATGCTCACAGGTGAACCTACGGCCCAGAGCAGCAGCCATGCCTCGGCACCAGCCCTGCCTGTGTCCCCAGCTGGCACCAGCGCTGCCTTCTTGCTCCACTGAGTTTCTCAATGACTTTCTAAAATTAGAAAGCTCAAGGCCAGCCATCAGGAAGCAGCCCAGCCCCCACCACACATCCAGAGGGTCCTGCTTCCTGAACAGCAGAGCCGCCTTGGGGTGCAGAGCAGGACCACAGGGGGCCACCAGGGGCAGGTCCTTTTTGACATGGGTGGAGGCCAGGGCCCCCAGGCAGAGATCTCCTGAGAAGCTTCTGATGAGGTCAGAGTGGCCCCACATGCTGAGCAACTTTAGTCTACCACCACCTGCCTTGCAGGCCCACACTGTCTATACAGCCCCAGCAGCACGGGCAGCTAAGAGCCAGCCACTGCCCAGGGCTCCCCAGCAACAGACCTGGCCAGGCATATGCATGGGACCAAAGTTTTGCTCATCAGGTTCCAGTGCAGTCCCCAGCACCCCAGCCACCAGGCTGCCACCCCTCCCAGATATCCCACTGCCCACCTGCTTCCCATCCCCCAGCCTATGGTCTGACGGAGCCTGCTGTGAGGACAGTGGGTGTCCAAGCAGGGGCCTGAGCCAACCCTCCTGCATCTCCACCTGCCCAAGTGGCCTCAGCCCATGGAAGCCTTGCGAGCAGCCACCATCTGAGATGACCAGCTGCTCTGTTCACACAGGCTGGGCTCATTCCCGGGACACAGCTATCCTCAGGACCTGAGCAAGGCTGAGGAGAGAAGGGGCTGACCCCAAAGCCTCCTTCGAGGAGCACACGGGCTCTGAGGAGGAACAGAGGAAGAGAGGTAGAGGTGCGTGGACACCCCAAGGGGAGCACTCCAGCCCAAGGGCCCACACCAGGGCCTGGGAGCAGCAGGAGGCTTCCCCAAGGGGAGGGTAAGAGGGGTGTAGCTGCTCCAGAATCCCAGAGCATCTGAGTAGACATTCACCCAGGGGTCTGGACCTCCACTGAAGCAGGGCTGGCTGGGGTACTTCCAGGTAAAGAGTAGATGAGGGAACAGGGATGGTCAGGACTTCACCACAGGGAAGCCTGGCGGGCACCACCTTAACCCACTGTCCCAGGTCACCACTATGACATCTGAATGCCGAGTACCCCCGACAGGCCATGACCAGAAGAGCACTTCATCTCTGGGTCTCCTTCACAAACACACAATTCCTATCATGAGAAAGACATCAAACAAACCCAATGACGAACATCCTGACACCTGAACATCACTCCATCAAAAACAAGGGCCACCTGAGGAAATGTCACAGCCCAGGGTGGGGCCAAAAGGGATGTGGTCCACATGCCTCGTGAAGAGACAGTCACAACACGGCGAGGGTGTGAGGTGCACAAGACCGTGAACCTGAAATTATTGAAAAATAAAGAAGTTCCTAAAAAGAGACATACCCTGTACCTGACAGCTTCACTGGTAAATTCTAACAAATGTTTAAAGAACTGACAACAATCCCTCAAACTCTTCCAAAAAAAATGAAGAGGAGGGAAACTTCCCAACTCTTCTATGAGGCAAAACCCTGACACCAAAGCCGGATGGAAACTACAGACCAACATCCCCACGAATATGGGTGCAACCTCGTAACAACACATCTCCAAACCAAACTGGGTGGCTTATCAAAAGGATCACACACCATGACCAAGGGGGATTTACTCACGGAATGCAAGGATGGCTCAACACAGGAAGATCGACAAGTGTAGCACATCACATCGACATAACGAAGGATAAAAACTATGTATCATCTCACTTGATGACTTGGCAAAATCTAATGCCTTTTCCTGATGAAAACAATAAACCAGGAATAGAAGGAAATTTCTCAACATGACAAAAGGCCATACATGAAAAACCCACAGCAAACATCAATGGTGAAAGGCTGAAAGTTTCTCTACTAAAATCAAGAACAAGACAAGGATGCCCGCATTTTCCACTTCAGCTCAAAAAGTACTGGGAGTCCTCACCAGAGCAGTTAGGTAAGAAAGAGAAATTAAAAGGCATCCACATTGGAAAAGAAGTAAAATTCTGCTTGCAGGTTATGTGATAGTAGTACACCCTACAGATTCACCACAAAATTGTTAAAAATAAATTCCGCAAACTAGCAGGATACAAAATTAACACACAAAACTCATTTGTGTTTCTACATAACAATCAACAATCCTGAAAATAAATTAAGAAAACAATCCTAAAGCATAAAAATATTTATTAGTAATTAACCAAGGAGGTGAAACACTTGTACACTGAAAACTACAAAAGTTACTGAAAGAAATTAAGAATGACACCAAAATACAGAAAGATATCCATGTTCACAGACTGGAACACTAAATATTGTTGTGATTTCATTACTACCCAAAACAATCTACAGATTTAATGAAAATCCTATCAAAATTACCATGTCTTTGCAGAGATAAAGCCACCCTGAAATTCATGTAGAATCTCAAGGGACCCCAAATAGCCAAAACAATCTTGAAGAAAATAAAGGGGGAAGACTCACACTTTCTGATTTAAAACCTGTTACAAAGCAACAAGGGTCAAACTTGTGTGGTGCTGGTTTTCAGCTTAAAGATGGCAGTGTGACAAGTGAGACAGAAACTTCCAAAACCACATATAACATGAAAATATAGCAAATACAACTAATCATGAAAGAAGGACAGAAAAGAAGACTGTGACAGACTGCCTACATCTGAGGAACAGAGCAGACCTCATGGAAAAGGGTAAAGTATAAAATCCGGTGGAACCCAAGCCCTTCCCCCACCCCAGCTCACCGGAGGGAGGAAGAGAAACAGAGCAGGGAGCTGGTGGAGGCCTGGGACTGCTGAACACCCAGCCCTGGAGATCCGCTATGGGAGCACGAACCTACATTGCATGGTGCTCTGGTGATTAGTGGGGTTGGAAAGCTAAGACAGAGATTCCAGCTGCTTGTGGAGAACAGGTACCCACAACTGGCCACTCTGGGACAAAAGAAAGGCAGGCACTCTGACAGACTCCCCAACAGCAAGAGGGCTGCTAAAGGGACAAGGATTGCACAGAACTTGCTCCTCAAGAGAAAGGACAGGTGGATAAAATCTTCCTGGCCAACTCAGCCCAGCAGGTTGGGAACTTTCAGGACCTTCAGGTGTTCCATCCCCCTGGCTGGCAATGCAGCCCTGAGGCCCCCCCCACTGAGATATGCAGCCTGCCACTCCTTCCTCTTGACTGGCACTGGCTCACAAACCTGCTAACCCCACCAAAGTGCCAGGCCAGCCAGAGGGTGGCCCCATCTACAGCAGTTACAGGGGCATGGCATAGAAGCTCCTCCCTGTTCACTTGTCCCACTGGCCTTGGCAGTGGAGGCAGGCACTGCAGCCAGGAAGCTGGAAAGAGCTCTTTCTTCCTGGAGGGCACCAGCACTGCACAAGAGCAGCCCCCACCATTGCTCCAGGGGCTGAGCAGCTCCAAAGAGTAGAGCTTCTGGGCACTAGAGGGCGCCACCTACACAAAGTTTTATTCCAAATTACTCATTAGAAATATGAAACATCAAAAGAACCTGATACAAACCAAAATCCCCCAAAAAACAGAAAGAGAACCAAGTGAAACTGAAATCATCAATCTTCCTGTTAAAGATTTCAAAATAAAAATCATAAACATGCTCACAGAGCTCTGGAAAAATATTTAAGACCTCAGGGAGGACTTCAAGAAAGTGACAGAAACTTTGAAAAATACAGTATCCAAAATGACACATACAATGGAGATATTTAAAAGCAGATTAGATGAGGTAGAGGAGACGGTAAATGAAATAGAAATTAGAGAAGAGGAGTACAATGAAGCTGAGGCACAGAGAGAAAAAAGGATCTCCAGGAATTAAAGAATATTAAGAGAACTGTGTGACCAATCCAAACAGAACAATATTCGCATTATAGGGGAACCAGAAGAAGAGAGACAAAAAGGGGTAGAAAGTGTCTTTGAGGAAGTAATTGCTGAAAAAAATCCCCAGTTTGGGGAAGGAGATAGTCTCTCAGGCCGTGGAGGTGCACAGATCTTCCATCACAAGGGACCCAAGGAGGACCAACACCAAGACATATAATAATTAAAATGGCAAAAGTCAAGGATAAGGACAGTAATAAACACAGCCAAAGCGAGAAAAAAGATCACCTACAAAGGAAAACCCATCAGGCTATCATCAGACTTCTCAGCAGAAATCTTACAGACCAGAAGAGAGTGGCATGATATATTTAATGCAATGAAACAGAAGGGCCCAGAGGAGACTAACTTCAAACCCAAAGACATACACAGACTGAAAGTGAAGGAATGGAAAAAGATATTTCATGCAAATAATAGGGAGAAAAAAGCAGGAGTTGCAGTACTTCTATAGGACAAAATAGACTTCAAAACAAAGAAAATAACAAGACAAAGGACATTACATAATGATAAAGGGTCATAACCCCATTTATATAAGAGTATATAACTACTATAAATATCTATGCATAGGAGCACCTACATATGTAAAACAATTACTAACAGAATTGAATGGGGACATAGAATGCAATGCATTCATTTTAGGAGACTTCAACACACCACTCACTACAAAGGACAGATCCACCGGGCAGAAAATAAGGAGGCAGAG